TTCCACTCGCAATTTAAAGTATATTGATAATGGCCGCTTAATTTTCAGGTAAAAATTTTTTAAAGAAAAATTTTCAGAAGGCTTAACATAACTTAAAATACGGGAAATTTTCGAATCGCCTTCAAAATTAATAGAAAACATTTATTTAAAATGTACCTAAATAGCACTTCCATCTGTCTTTGATTCCAGTGTTGGCGTCTTTTCAACTTTAACTGATTCAGTTTCCTTTTCAATTGACGGACACTAATATTACAAAGAAAATGTACAATAGCTTGAACAAGAGCTGTCAGTAGGACAGTGCGCTCGACTTTTCGTGTTTGCCAATAAACAAGCAATCAAAGTTAAAACATGTATCTTTAAAGGATGAGGGCAATATTCAATGTATTTTTGAATTAAAAAGGGCATAATTCTGTCAAAATCTTGACAGAGTTGTGTACTCCTGTCTGTTGATGGATGTCATGATGGCAAGTAAGTATGATTTAGTTTCAAAGCAATATCTCAAACTGTTTTGAAATCAAATGAGGTGGAACGAAATACTTAAGCAATATTATATTCGATCAAGGTCCTTAAATTTTTTAAAAGTAATGCGTGACAGAGTTATCATCTCTTGTCTATAGATAGGGGTAATGATTAAAGCAGCATTCAAAGTTTCAAGCACCATCTCAAAGGGTTGGGCATAATTCTATAAAACACTCGAGACACTTATATATACTCTTGTCTTTTGATTAGGTCTTCATGGTAAGTACAATCTTTAGTTTAAAAGCTGTATTTGTAACGGTTTTGAAATAAAGTGAGGTGTTAACCAAGCTCAATACACTTTGTAAGTCCAAAAAGGCTCATAATTCTGTCAAAAAATCTTGACAGTGTTATGTACACTTGTCTGTAGATGGAGGTTATGATCGAAAGTTTCAAAGCCATGTCTAGTAATTTTAAAATAAAGTGAGTTGGTACGAAAAACTTTACGATGTCGGGTTGAGTAGGAAAAGTCGAGCTCAAAATGTTGCAAATTTCCTGAGAAAAAAAAGTAATAAAGGGCAAGTACTTGATATATAAACCTTAGAAACCGAAAGTAGAATAGAAAATTTAATACACTGAAACACGTAAACCTTTATTGAATAACTAAAATAAATTGTAGAAAAGGTAAAACATGTCCATTCACAAATTTCATTCCTAACACAAAATAGAATAGCCCTTGTAATAAAATCGAAGCATTGTTACTGTCATTGAATTGTAGAAGTCATGTAGAAGACACTACGACAGTACGATGGCGATAGTACGACAGTACGATGGTGACAGTACGACAGTACTGTCGTACTGTCACCATCGTACTGTCGCGCTGTCACCATCGTACTGTCGTACTATCGCCATCGTACTGTCGTAGTGTCACCATCGTATTGTCGTACTGTCACCATCGTACTGTCATGCTTCGCGTTTTCCGTCCTCACGATGAAAACACGATGACCCTAACAGTACACCGTACAGAATGTCCTTGAAAGCATTCAGTACGATGCTGCGCGAATTGTGACTTGTCTAACAAGATCAGTATCAATCGTAAATCTCATACGCGAAATTGGCTGGGTCTCACTTGCAGATAGAAGGAAAATGCAAAAAATTTGATTCTTGTTTTTAAACATAGTCGAGGCGAGCTTGCCTGTTATTTGAGCGACATCTTCCCAGAAATAGTTGGTAATAATAGTACATATGCCCGACGATTAGAAATTTATTCGAAATCAGTTATACCCTCTTCTATTAAAGTATGGAATAGTTTAGACCTAGATACTCGTAATAGTCACTTTCAGCATTCAAAGCCAGACTTAAAATTATTTTTTCTCGGCCTCAAGCTCCGTCATACTTTCTTACAGGTGACAGGTTTCTTCAAATTACCACACAAGAATTAGAAATAAGTGTAGCAATCTTAATGCCGATTTACACTATAACCATTTACGCGACAATCCAATTTGTGAATGCGGTTTTCGTTCTAAAGACGCTGACCATTACTTTTTCAAATGCCCACTGTATACTGATCAGAGGTGTACCTTATTTATTAATACACGTACTTACCATCCTTTAAGTGCCTATAAATTATTATTCGGTATCAATAACCTTAGTGATGAAGAAAATAACATGTTATTCCATCATGTTCAAATTTTTATCAAACGATCAAGAAGGTTTCAAAATGTTTAAATCCTAGTTCCTAAAGAGTGCTCTTAATTGTTGTCCTTATTTACTATATTCATACCAAGGATAAAACGGACGGGCGGGAACTTCGACACACGGCTTCTTCTACTCTTTTCATTTGTTTTCTCTATTGTCTTTTTTTCTTCTTTCAAAATCATGTTTAGTCACTGTTTTTTAGCATCATATTAATTATTTCCAGACATTTTTCTTTGATTGCTTATAAATACTATTATCAATATCAATACTATAACGAGACTCACGCACATCTTTTTACCTTTATTGAGACTAATTGGGAAGGGCCAACCCTCTAATGTTGTTAAAACTTGTGGCCCGACCCTTTTGCTTTATAATTAAAAACTGCATCATACATGTAAATTCTTGAAAATAACTTTGTATTGCATGTGAAATTGTATCTATATTGTACATAAAGAAAAGCAATAAAATATGATTAAACTAAATTTAAATGTTGCAAAGAATGCCAAAAACCAAAAGCTTCTGATGCAGAAGTGCAAAAATAATCAATTTTCCTCACAATTCTTATGCAATTCAAATGTTATCTTTTCACAATTGACCATGACAGCTCAAAGTCTGTTTTTGTAGCTCAGTTAGGCGCCTTTAAAAAGTTAGGATTGAAAACGTATTTATAGATGCTGTGCCTTCTAATATAATAAACATTCAGGGTCATTTTTCAATGTTAAATTATGAACCGGGGTCATTTTTAAACGTTAAATTATGAACCGGGGTCATTTCTCAACACCTTCAACAGGTGGTTCAAAATTCAACAGGTGGTTCAAAATTCAACGTTGAGAATTGACCCTGTGACCGTTGAAAATTGACCCCAGGGTCATTTCTCAACAGGGTCAAAATTTAATGTTACACTGGCACCAAACAAATCAAGAATAAAAATATCTTGGTTTAATGCAGGAATCTTTTGTCGACCTACAATAACACGGTATGCAGGCTGATTTAATGATGAACTGGAATCTTCTGTCGATTTGCATTAACACGGTATGCAAGTTGATTTAATGATGATCTGGAATCGTTTTTCGGCCTGCACTTACACGGTATAGAGGCTGAATTTTTGGTAAACTAGAATATTTTGTCGGCTATGCGGGTTGATTTTATTACGAACCAGAATCTTCTGTCGACCTGTATTAACACAGTACACTGCACTGTGGTAAACTGCAATGTTTTGTCGGCTTCCAATAACACTCTATGCAGGTTGATTTAATGATGAGCTGGAATCATCTGTCGACCTGCAATAACACGGTATGCAGGCTGATTTTATATTGGAATCTTCTGTCGACCTGCAATAATACGGTATGCAGGTTGATGTTATGGTAAACTGGAATTTTTGTCGGCCTACAATAACACGGTGTGCAGGTTGGTGCAATGATGATCTGTAATCTTTTGTCGACCTGCACTTACACGGTATGCAGGATGAATTTTTGGTTAACTAGAATGTTTTGTCGGCCTGCAATAACACGGTATACAGGCTGAATTTTTGGTAAACTTGAATCTTTTGTCGGCCGGCAAGAACACAGTTTGCAGGCTGATTTTATGATGAACTGGAATCTTTTGTCAGCCTACTATAACACGGTATTCAGGTTGTTTGATGGTAAACTGGAATCTTTTATCGGCGTGCAATAACACTGTATGCAGGCTGATTTTATGATGAACTGGAATCTTTTGTAGGCCTGCCATAAAACGGTATGCAGACTGATTTATGATGGACTGTAATCATTTGCCGGTCTACAATAACACGGTATACAGGCTGATTTTATTACGAACCGGAATCTTTTGTCGGCCTGCAACAGCACGGTATGCAGGCTGATTTTATTATGACCTGGTATCTTTTAATCGGCCTACAATAACACGGTATGCAGGCTGATTTTATTATGATCTGGTATCTTTTTATCGGCCTACAATAACACGGTATGCAGGCTGATTTTATTATGATCTGGTATCTTTTTATCGGCCTACAATAACACGGTATGCAGGCTGATTTTATTATGATCTGGCCTACAATAACACGGTATACAGGCTGATTTTATTATGATCTGGCCTACAATAACACGGTATGCAGGCGGATTTTATTACTATAACTGGAATCTTTTGTAGGCCTACAGTAACTCGGTATCCAAAATTGGCGCGACAATAATCTAAGAATAAACAACCAATCAAAAAACAGTTCAACAAAGTCACTCGAAATAATTAGTTATTTTAGCAATAGCACGTTATGCATATTGTTTTAATGATGAACTAGATCTTGTGTTCGCCAACAATAACATAGTTTCCAGATTTTAAAGCAAATAGTAGTAACCGCACAAAACCAGAAGCAAAGTGCATTAAATTTCTTTAATAAATCATGAATATCAAATAAGAAGAAGTAGTAAATCCACTGCTCTTCAGCTAAGTATAATTTGTTTCCTTTCAAGTGGCCTTTCTTTCTTTCTTTCTACCTATCCTAGTAGCAAGATTGTGTACTTGTATGGTAAATATGAAATATTTGCTAGATTGAGATGTGATTTGAAATGTACAATAAAAGATAATCGACATGTTGTTTGAGAAGTTTTGTTAGTGTATATCTGCCGCGTCATGACCAAACCAACATAATGGGTTTGCGACCAGCATGGATCCAGACCAGCCTGCGCATCCGCGCAGTCTGATCAGGATCCATGCTGTTCGCTTAACAACCCTTTTACAAGTAGATAAAGTCATATCGAACAGCATGGATCCTGATCAGACTGCGCGGATGCGCAACTGGTCGCAAACACACTATGTTGGTTTTGTCATGACGCGGCTCATGTATCTGCATACAGTTCTATATAGTGTACACTGTTAAATATACAACAAACAAGTTCGTACCAGCTGTAAACAGACAGATTAGAGTTATGTCAACATTGATGCAATATTGACAAATACGTAAACGAAACTATTTCAAGCATAAAAGGAGAAAGTGGTAGAACAGTGGAATATAGCATGGAACAAGGTAAATGTTTATTGATATCTCAGAAAAAATCTTAAATTCCATGTAGAGGATATAAATATATAAACCATTATTCTAAATCTATAAAGTTGAATATATATTTTTTTTAATTGGAAACATATTTTCTTTGTGCAAACACTTTTCTTATCGCGCAATTTGTATCATCGTATAAATGCATGTATGTATCTCGCAATAGCATGATGAAATGAGAAATTCAACATAGTATAATAATTTTAATAATTTCATTAAAAAAGTTAAAATAAGGGCACACTGAATATTTCAAAATTATGTAATGAACATATTTCAAACAAGGCAAGTTGACAGAAGTGATTGAAAATTGTTCGAAATCAATTAATTATTGTATTTAAGAACCACGTTTTATTGAAATTACAAGTATATATTCGGTCCTTTTTTAAATAAGAAACTTAATCTCTTTATCTATTAGAGGGTGCGTGTGTAATTGTAATTATAATACATGTATATGTATATTGTACATGATATTGTCTGTCCTTGTATTTATTTGTATTATTGGTTTGCATAAATTAAACTTGTACTAGTTGTGACTGTGAATATTTTACTCAGTTTTAATTAATTCGAAATAAATTATCAAGTCACGAATTTATATAAAATATTAACACTGTCTGGTCAGGATCCATGCTGTTCGCTATCAGTTTCTCTACTTGTTATAGGGTTTGTAAGCGAACAGCATGGATCCTGATCAGATAAGGGGAGCGGTGGCCTAATGGTTAAGGTGTCTGCCTCTCAACCCAGAGATCATGGGTTCGAGCCCTACTCGGGTCACGACCATGTTTCTCCATAAGACACCAGTACTGGTTGGTTCCAGGAAGCGGAATCGAAAGTGATTAATATAAGTTGCAAGAACTTGTTTCGCAATCGAGCTTAAAATAAATATGTTTAAATTCTGATCAGACTGCGCGGATGCGCATGCTGGTCTGGATCCATGCTGGTCGCAAACCCATTATGTTGGTTTTGTCGTGACGCGGCTCATTTCATTTAAGGGTTATGTATACTGGTGCCTCATATGGCAGTGTTACCCATCAATAAGGTATTCGGCATGCACAATCTCAAGTGCCTCCTACACTTTAAGCAGCTACCAGGAGTTTTACTTCTACTTTCTTACACCATCAATATGTTCCGTATACCCTGAGAAATATTATTATTTTATTCAAGTGAAGAGTAAAATTAATTATTTCTTCTGTCTACTTTTAAGTTTTCATACATTTTACGACAACTTTCTTTGTTAGACAACCGTTGAAATATTTGATAATGACATAGAGGATATCCCCATCTACAGATTAGGCAATGTATAGGCATACTGAAAAATAAAAGTATCAATCGTCTTGATTTTAACCGGATTTGTATAATCTGCAACGTTTAAATATGTTGATAAATGTCCAAGGTTGAGTTTGGTTCCAACTTTTTATTGAGACCACATTTCATATAGCTGTCAACACTGTGTAATGTTTGCGAAAGATAAGTGTCCACAGACTGGGTAAAGTACATAATTCGATTATCTAACCGATGTTTTATTTGGTTGAATCAATATCGTTTTCTTTTGAGATAACGGGCTGTACTGATACAATTATATTGCAATATTTAAACAGCGCCGGATATAGAGCTCAGTGTGTCCAAATAGTAGGTTAGTTTCCCTTATTAGACGGCGCGTGCAGTAGATATGCATTTGTTCATATAGCAATGGGGACAAATTTAGACTTGATTTTGTGCATTTTTTCTTGGTTTAACAAAATCACATTATTTTCAAATTTTCTAATAAAAACAGCTTTCTGATGTACAACATGACACAGAGCTTTAAGGGATTAAAATAAACGTTTAACTGAAGTGATAGTGCCATGTTTGAATATCATATTCTTTTTATAACTATCTAATTTTATCTATACCTAATAAATAAGTGCCAATGAGCCAGTCTATGTCGTTCTAGTCTAATGATGGGTACCAAATTCGGGCAGGGAACAAGAGGTATCATTAAAATACGCAACGGAGATTTTATTGGCGATATGGACACATTGGAAATATTTTTTGCAAAACAGGCAAAACGTGTTCGACATGTAATTCATTAAAATAATTAACATTTAAGTTATAAAACAGATTAACTGATTGAAAAAAGTACGTTTATTTTAAAATGTATCACAAATATTTGCAATAGGTTATTTTGAAGGATTCTATGACTGACGATTGTTCTCTTTCACTTTGATTTCATTACTACATTTAGTCACGGATTTATATTACAAATATAAATCCGTGATTTAGTGGTCCTTTACCTAGATTCTAGCCGAATATGCAATCTTTAGTTAAATCAAGTAGTTTAATCTTTTATAAATAAGAAAACAAAACGTATACATCAATTTAATTCATAAGTATTATTTGATATTACAGACATATTTTTGCTATTTGTAAATTAAGAGACAGTTCGTCCTCAAATTCATTCGAACGAACATTATGCAATTCGCACCAATATTTAAATGGACATATTCTCGGCACATATTGTCTTGAATTCATTTTAAGTTTACCAATCATTTCAATTATTACAATTTATTTTGCTTCGACCAGACGTTTCAATCATTGTCGCAACAGACAAACATTTCAGACTTTCAGACACATAACAAGAACATGGAGAAAAAAAATGATTAGTGCTTCGGATATTCAACTGTAAGAGAGAACGATTTTCTATTCAGATTTTGTACATTACCTGTGAATGTTCATATTATTTGGCGGCGTCTTTGATATGCAGCATCAACATTTAACTTGTTAAGTATATGTGTAACGTGTATCGAGCTGTTGCATGCTTATTTATCTATTATTACAAAATAGAATCACAATATTCTTAAATGCAAATATATATTTTTTCTTGGAATACTTATCCGAGTTGATTAAAAATATTCAAATTAAATTTTTCTTGTGGTATCTTAACCTTTTGATTAGATATCAACTTAATAAAAACTCTAGACATAATAAAATGCAAAAATAACAATCTTCAACTAATTATTAAATTATCCGAAACAACAATTATCAAGAAACAACTAAACAATATACTTTTAAACAAAAATTAATATTCCTAAATTTAACACAAATTTATTTCTCACTTAAATATTTCAATACAAAAATCCTTTATCTCAAATTAACTACACTTTAAAAAAATCTATCCTTTAAAATAGTATTTCCTAAATAAACTATCTCACCTCAATTATTTGTCCAAGAGGTTTTACGTACGCAATAAAGTATTTTTAGCACCAGATATCTAAGATACAATATCACCTATATCCAACTCTTACAAGGACAACAGGCAGACTAACTATTAAACTCATAAAATATTTCCTGAAGAAGCAAAGATATTTTAGCACCAGATATCTAAGATGCCTGGGTACTAGTAAATATATAATTACAACTTCGATCTTAACGGTCCGGAGCCAAACCAAAACAAACTAAAATATACATATATGTCTTAAAATAATTAATGCCCAAGGAATTTTACAGAAATCATAAAACGTCCTTATTACCAGATATCTGAGATTTCTTGAGGAAGTTGCCACGATATGCAAGGATATTTAAAGTCATAAAAATGAACATAAATGATTTTTGATGCAACTCTAGTCATCCAAAATTCCGTATACATGTCTAAAACTCAAACTGTTAAAGTAAAAAATCTAAACGCAGTGACTGCATCTCGGTTCCCTGTAAGATGAATTATAGTATATAAAAATAAACTTATACAGGAAATTACATGCATGAGCTTGCAGCCCTTTGATTTGCGTTGTATTTGAAATAGACCATTTGTCATTTGTAAATGCAGAACAAGTAAAATCTTTGGTGAAGGCAAGTCACGAAGCGAAGAACAACTCTTATTCTCCTTACAGCAAATTCCGTGTTGGTGCTGCACTGCTCTGTCAAGATGGCACGGTAATTAAAGGTACGTCTTCATACATGTATATATGTTACTTATTTCATTGTCTTGCATAAGGTATAATCTTAACGTTTTTAATCAAATACAATGTAGTTATTGAAAACAACGTTGTTTGCTAAAATCACATATAACATGGTTACCGAAAATAAATTCAATACAATAAATAGTGATGGCGTGAATATGGAAGCACTGGAGGGCCCTTTTGACTTCTGACTTAATGACTTTTGACTTGGGAGTTGGGAGTTTTGACTTTTAACTCTAGACTTATTACTTCTTAGTTGTGAAATTAATTAATTAAACCACACTTTAAGAAAGCACGTGAGTAATGAGCGAAGATGGCTGTGTTGTGCCAAAATATGAAATTTGTGTTTGCTTGTTGTTTTCTGTGCACTCTGTTGAAGATAACAGCTGGTGTGGTGCCAGCTTACCTGCCTTTGTCGTCTCCGAATGTTGATAAAGCATCACTCATTGAAGAATATTTCAAACAAGGTTTTAAATACAGTGAAATTCTTGGAGTTTTGCTACTTAAGCATGGTATTTTGTTGTCACTGTGTCAGCTGAAAAGAATCTTGAAGAAGTTGAACCTGAAACGTCGAAGTGTACATTTGTAATCGCAGTTGAAAAACGTTGTTCGTGTAATTGGCACGGAAATGCATTATAGTGGACAGTCAGTCGGTTATCGGACATATGGCGCCGACTGAAAGTGAATCATAATATGGATGTTAGCCATAAAGATGTTATGGACATAATGAAGGCAATAGATACAAATGGTGTTGAAATGAGAAAAGCACATCGACTTAAAAGACGTTTCTATTGTGCAAAAGGGCCAAACAATATTTGGCATTTAGATGGTTATGATAAGTTAAAACCATTCGGATTTTGTATACACGGAGCGGTAGATGGTTTTAGCAGGAAAATTATCTGGTTAGAAGTTTCTGACACTAACAACGATCCAAAACTGATTGCGATATATTATTTGGAGTTCTTTCGGAATGAAGCAACCGACCACTTTGCTGGTAGTCGCAGAGTTATTGTTGGAAGAAGCACTTCTAACCAGCGCATTGAAAGATGGTGGGGTACGCTACTTCAACAAGGAATACAGTGGTGGATTAACTTTTTTTAAGGATTTGCGCGATTCTGGTCGTTTCACTGACCAGAAACATAGTGAAAATTTGAAATTTTGTTTTATGAACATAATACAAACACACCTGGATAGAATTGCTCAACAGTGGAATGTCCATGAAATTAGACCTCAGCACAATTCCAACGCACATTACGGAAAACCTGACATTATGTATTTTTACCTGAAACGTTTGGCGCGCTTGATTATGGTACGGTGGTTGACAAACGTGATGTGACCTGTTGTAAAGACATGTATTCAGTTCCAAAGAGAAAGTTTGACGAATTCAGCGAATTGGCTTATCTGTTAAAGCCCGACCTCCAAATGCCAGTAGATGCCGATTCAGCATTGAATTTGTTCCTGGAGTTGAATGATTTAGTGGCAAACTCGTATGAAGACTGAAGTCTTTTTAAGCCATAAAGTTGTTTTGTGAGAGAACAAATGATCAACACGATCCATCATTATCATCATCATCTACATCATCATGATTATCATTATAAGTATGTTGACTGCAATGATGATTGTCATGATGCTGCTCCTCATGATGAAGGTCGACTTTATAATTTAAATAATTATGTTGTTGATGATAAGCAGAAGTTGATTTCGATGATAATGATTATAATCATGACGATGATGATAACTATATTAAGGATGATGATCGTGATGATGTTGTAAACTATAGTATAATATATTTTATAGTTCATAATGTAAGTGGCATATGTTTATTCTTATGTTTGACAGTCAACTATAACAAACGAATATGTCACGAAAGTCAAATGTTATTATCCCCCGCCGAATATTTCGAGTATTTGAGTTATCAACTTGAAACTTCATAAGTGGATAGACCTCATTGAGGAGGAGTGCAGTGCACAAGAATGATAACTCTACCTTGCATGATTTTTGAGTTATTGCCCTTTGTTATTTTTCAAAATTGATTTTTGTCCAGAGCATAACTCCAAAAGCCTATGAGATATTAACATGAAACTTCATAGGTGCATAGATCTCACTCAGGAGGTGTGCAGTGCACAAGAATGATAACTCTACCTTTCATAATTTTTGAGTTATTGCCCTTTGTTATTTTTCATACCTAATTTTTCACCTGAGTGGAGCATAACTCAAAAAGTGTTTGAAATATCAACAGGAAATGTCATAGGTGGATAGATCTTATTGAGGAGGAATGTTGTGCGCAAGAATGATAACTCTTCCCTATACAATTTTTGAGTTATTGCCCTTTGTTTTTTTCATGCTATTTTGTCCAGAGCTTATCTGAAAAAGTATTTGAGGTATCAACTTGAAACTTCATAGGTGGATGGATCTCATTGAGGAGGAGTGCAGTGCACAAGAATGATAACTCTACCCTGCATAATTTTTGAGTTATTGCCCTTTGTTATTTTTCATTCTATTTTGTCCAGACTTTATCTCAAAAAGTATTTGAGGTATCAACTTGAAACTTCATAGGTGGATGGATCTCATTGAGGAGGAGTGCAGTGCACAAGAATGATAACTATACCTTTCATAATTTTTGAGTTATTGCCCTTTGTTATTTTTCACACCTAATTTTTCACCTGAGTTGAGCATAACTCAAAAAGTGTTTGAGATATCAACATGAAATGTCATAGGTGGATAGATCTTATTGAGGAGGAATGTTGTGCGCAAGAATGATAACTCTTCCCTATACAATTTTTGAGTTATTGCCCTTTGTTGTTTTTTCATGCTATTTTGTCCAGAGCTTATCTGAAAAAGTATTTGAGGTATCAACTTGAAACTTCAAAGATGGATGGATCTCATTGAGGAGGAGTGCAGTGCTTAAGAATGATAACTCTACCCTGCATTATTTTTGAGTTATTGCCCTTTGTTATTTTTCAAAATTAATTTTTGTCCAGAGCATAACTCAAAAAGCCTTTGAGATATTAAAATGAAACTTCATAGGTGCATAGATCTCACTCAGTAGGTGTGCACTGCACAAGAATGATAACTCTACCTTTTATAATTGTTGTGTTATTGCCCTTTGTTCTTTTTCATACTTAATTTTTCAATTCAATTTTTTTCTCAAAAAGTATTTGAGGTATCAACTTGAAACTTCATAGGTGGATAGATTTTACTGAGGAGGGATGCAGCACACAAGAATGATAACCTACCCTGCATTATTTTTCAGTAATTGCCCTTTGTTATTTTCAGCCATCAGTATTCACATAGGTTTCAAATCTGTAATCACTATAGCCATCAGTTTTCATTACCAAAAGACCTCTTAAAATGGAATTATTCCGCTCTACTACATATACATTCTTCCAATGAGCAAACACATTCGGCGGGGGATGGCCATGTTGATATGGCTCTTGTTTCTACGTTCAAATACATCATGGCTCACAAAGGTCTGTTTGTAACCGTTAACGTTTCAGTCAAGAAAAACTACGGACCTGTGACAAGTGTAGACCGAATTAGTCTGTACAGGTGTGCAGACTTACTAGGGCCTATATACTTAACTTTCAGTTAATTAGAATGTGGCTATTAAAATAAATTCACTGCCTCACGTTCATCTTTGTAGACCAAACGCCCTAGTACGAAACTTGCACAGGATATCTAGCCAGTACTACCGTTTTCTTCCTAGTAATCGCCTAGGGCGCTTAGAAAATTGTGAAAGGTGGGCGCTTATTAGGAGTCAGGTCTTACAAAAGTATACAACGAGTCACAGCTATGCAAATTCTGTTGATATCTCGTATTTGAAGTGGTCCCGTTTACTGACAAATCACTACAATGGGTTTGAAATGTGAATATTCACAGTCTTTTCTTGTACAGTGAAATTTTCTAGGCCCGCGGACATGCATAAAAATTTAAAATGTCGATTGTGGTCAGTTGATTTTTTTTTCTTTTAAGACAATTTATCCTGGGCGCTTAACCACTTACAAATGGAAAAGAAGGGATGGGCGCTTATAGAAGCATTGGCTCTTATTAGGGCGAATAGGTAGTTATAGGTAGTAAGGTCAGCTTCAAGAATTTCCAGGATGACGCATTTGTAAAGCTAAGGACGTTTTAAACGATATTTCAATGACACTTCTTGCTCAATGGTCTGACTTATGACTTCGTATTTCTGACTAGAGACTTCCTATTTGTGACTTTTGACTGCTTATTTGTGACTTCCTACTTGTGACTTTTGACTTCCTACTTGTGAGTAGTGACTTCAAACACTTGTGGTCTTGACTTTTTACGTATCGACCTCTATTATAAATGCATGGAATTAATATATGGTTTGGGGATTGGCAAAGGAACAGATATTCACCCGCCATGAAGCTGTACGTGTATCATAAAATGCAACTAAAAATATAATTCGAGGGCTTGGTGCAAAACAGTTGTATCTCCTTCTTTATCTAGTTTAAGTTACAACCGTTTCGCAATAAGCCCTCAAAATGGATTAAACAACTAGATTTTTTCTAGCCCTAGTATAAAGCGCCCGTGTAGGGCAAGGTCATGCAGCAAAACTATGATTTTTTGTTCTTATTCCACCAGTCCTATTTTACTCTAGCAAATTTAAGATTGACATAGAACAGCTTTGGATACGAGACACCAGCACACGGAAGGTGGTTCTTTTTGTTATATTTTCCTTTAGATGACAACAATATCATTCTCAGCAAAGCTTCTACTTAAGGTGACAACAGACACTTTCCGTGGTACTCACATAAATGTCATTTAAACCAAGTTATTTTTGTAATAATTGTTATTCATTTAATCTTTGTGCATTAAATGTCGTTGATCATCATAAAAAATAACATATTTGAAAAAAATGCCTTTGTAAATGATTGATTTTGACTGGAACATACGATACGTAGATTATAAGTGCCGATTTCAATGTGTCAAGTATTTCTTTGTTCATTTCACAATATTTTTTGTA